CTGGTTGGTATGGATGAGTTGGACCATAGGGCCTGTCTTCAAGCTGTCTCTCTGACTCTATAATGACCTTAAATCTTCCATTGTGAAAATTACTACAGCAATTCCTAAAATAATTAGAAATCTACCAAGAACTAAGGTTGAAAGACTAAGTTTGTGTATCATATGAATATAGGAACAGGAATGGGTTATTGAGCCCTCAAATCCTTCATTCAATCAGATCTGTGATGTGACACCATTCACCAGTTTTTGCCCTATGTCACTTAATATGTTTGCCCAATAAAAACCTTCAACTCAGACATAAATTTAACAATTGATCTCGCATCAATTGCCCCTTGTGGAAAAGATAGCAACACCTACAACTCTCAACATGTTGAAGTGTTTTCTAATTACTTTCCTGAAAGTTCTGGCACTAATTTTTTTTAGACTGCAAGTTTTGGCCTAGATTTCCCAACCACAGAAATAGTTCACAGAAATAGAATTCTAAAGAAGAATTCATGTTGAACTCAAAATGTTAACTCAGTTTCTGCCTCCACTGACGCTAAGAGATCTGCTGAGCTTCTCCAACATTCTGTGTTTGTTCCACCAATTTCCTAACCAGGTCATATCTTTAATTCCATGAGTTTAAATGTTAGCTAGCAGCATCTTTTATAAGGGATGTTATCAAATTCCTTCTGGAAGTCCGCATAAATAATATCTATAGATATTTTGATGTCTAATACTTCTGTCACCTCTTCAACCAGCTTTGTCAGATATGACATATGTTTCCAAATCCACAGTAACTCATAGCAATCAGCTGAAAATTATCAATCGGAAATATTAACATATATATCCTAGATTTCAAAAGGAACCAATCAGCATAGCATGTGTGTGTGATGGCTTCTCTTCTGGTGTCAATCATTTAACCAGACCTAACCCATGATAACCTCCAAATTAACAGAAGTACTAACACTGAGTCATACCCACTTAAATATTGAACTTCTGATGTCTTTGCTGCTCAAAGCCCAGATAAGGCAAGATATTTTTAAGTTCTCCTTAATGAGCTGTTTCTGCGGTCTGAATGTCTTGTTTTCTATCACCACAATGGAATGTTTTGTTTGTCTTATGATTCATGATTTACTTAGCATTAAGCCTTTCTACATCATGGAGTTCAGTCTAACTATTCACTTCGTTTTGAGGACTTGTTTAAGGCAATTATTAAGTTGTTTCTTAAAAGAGAAAGACACAGAAAGATTGTTATATTTTTAAACACAAAGCAGATATTATTGGCTTTCATGGTACTGTGCTCAGAAAATTAGAGCACAGCAGGTCAATTTGAACCAATTTTTCCTGGCATATTGGTAATGTTAGCAGACTAGTGATCCAAAATCTCTCACCAATGTTATGTGGACATGATTGAGAATCCCATCGTGTCAGATGATGAAATTTGAATTCAATAAAAATCTGGTGTTAACAAATTAGCCAATGAGAGATGATGTAACCATTGTCAATTGCCATTAAAACCTTTCTGGTTTACTAATCTACTTTAGAGAAGGAAATCTGCCATCCTTACATGCTGTCATCTATATGTGACTCCAGATCACTGTGGCAACTCTTAACTGTCCTCTAAAACAGCTCAACAAGCCACTCAGTATCAGAACAATTAGGAATGTGCAGTAAATGCTGGCCTAGCCAGTGACACCCACATCCCATAAATGAACAAAAACGAGACAGCTGACTATAAAGGGGAAATGTGGAGTGTTCATTATTTTTATTTACAATAGTCAAGTCATCCTTTTGAATAGAGTGAGGCCAATCATAACTATCATCTGTTTTCAGTTACCAGAGTAGGGATGGGGAATAATTTCCTCTTTTTTTTTCCCAACTCTCACCTGACCACTATAGACAGAAAAAATACTTTGTTGTGTTTGAATTTTTTTTATAAAAGAAGATATACATTTACTTTTTCATAAACACACACTGTTCATTCACACAAGACATACAGACAATGAAAGATGATTTCTAAAGATTTAGCATGCACTTGGGTATCGTAAAGTCACAAAAATCAATATTATTGTCATTCTTCAAGAAGACTATTAACACACTGAAGACTTGAGAGTTTCCTTTTTTACCCTGAAGAAAAGAAGGGTAATTTGTTTTGTTCATTCATGGGATATGGGCATTGCTGGCCAGGTCAGCATTTATTGTCCGTCCCCAGTTTCACTGGAGAAGGTAGTGTTGAGTGTGCCTTCTTAAATCATTGCAGTCATTCAGATGTATGAACAATGCCATTTTGAAGGGAGTTCCAGAATTTTGGCCAGCAACTCTGATGAAACAGTGATGTAGTTTGAGTCGCAATCACTTGGCTTCGAAAGGAACACTTATTTTCCCATTAATCTTCAGCCTTTGTCCTTTTAGCGGGTAGAGGCAGCAGGTTCTGTCAAAGAAGGCTTGATGAATTAATGCAATGAATCTTGTAGATAAGACACACTGCTGCCACTGTGCATTAATGTCAAGGAGAGTAAATATTGAAGATCGAGATGGGGTGCCAATGAAATAAGATGTTTTGTCCTGAATGATATCCAGCTTTAGGCGTATTATTTGAGCTCTGCCTATCCAAGCAAGTAGAGACAGAGTTCCATCACACTTCTCACTTGTACCTTGAGGATGGCAGACAGATATTGGGGGCATAGGAGGTAAGTTAGCCACCGCAGAATTCTGAGTTTCAACATGGTCTTGTAGCCTCAGTACTTACATGGATAGTTTAGTTCTCTTTCTGATCAATGGTAATGTCCCGAGAATATTGAGAGTGATGGATGCAGGGATGGTGATGCCATCGAACATCAAGAAATGATGGTTTTCTTTTGTTTGTCATTGTCATTCTCTCCTACTTAGGTGGCACTAATTTTACTTACCACTTCTAAACCAAAGCCTGGAAGTTATCTGGGTCATGCTGTATAGGGACACCACCTGCTTCAGAATCTGACGAGTCATTAAATATGTTCAATATTGTGAAATCATCAATAAATGTGGCCACTTTTGACCTCATGAGGGAGGTCAGGACATTCTTGAAGCAGCTGAAGATGGTTTGGCCTCAGACACTACTCTGAGGTGTCCTGGAGCTGAGATGATCGATCTCCAACAGCCACATCCATCTTCCTTTGTGCCAGCAACGACACCAACAAGTGGAGAAATTTCCTCCAATTTCCATTGACTCCAGTTTTGCTAAGGCTTGATGCTAAACTCAGTCAAATGTTCCTTGATGTCAAGGGCAATTACTCGGCTCTCGTCTTGATCAGCTTCTCTTTTGTCTATGTTGAGACCAAGGCTACAATGAGGTCAGGAGTTGTGCCGCTGGAAAAACCCTAACTGAATGTCAGTGAGCAGGACATTCCATTGTTAGTGTTGCTTGACAACACTGTTGACCTCCTCCTTGTTGTTGATTGAGCGTAGACTGATGAGGCAATAATTGGCCAAGTTGGATTTGTTCTACAATTGTGGACAGGACGTAGCTGGATAATTGGGTAGAGACATAAACATAAAAAGTGAAATAAAATAGCTGTAATTTAAGTGACAGGACGAAAGATAACAGAGTAGTTTTCCATCATAGTTCTTCATTGTTTTGAATGTATTATAGCCCTTTCACCAATAGAAAAGATGCTATAGCGCCTTTCAGTGTATACACAATGCTGATCAATGTAATGGCCAACTCATCATTACAGAACAGAGACCTATGATTAGTCATTATGTTATAACACACCGACATCACAAAATAACATCTAATAGTGTAATTTCATCTCCTAAAATGTTCCCAACTGCTCAGCAAACTCCTCTCTGACAGTTACAAACTCTCCCAGCAGGTGCACTTTATACAGCTATCAACCACAGAAGAGGGCCATGAGTATTTTGCACCTGAGGCCTTCACAACCCATGAAAACAAGACACACAAAAATGCGCAGCATCTGGAAAGTTCAAAAAAATTCTCAAAAAAATCCCTAAGTTTTGCGATTCGCAAACCAATTCCTGCTTCCAATAAGAGATAGAAATTGGCCCTGCATTTCAAAAGTGCTTTGGCTCTTGTGAAAATTGATACAAACACACGTTGTTTATTTCTTAATCATTATTTCCTTTCTCAATTCATAGATAATCAGCTAGAGGATGCATAATAACATACTTACTAGGATAAGAAGTCAAATTGAGACACATCTCTGCTTTCTTGTGTTTTGGAAGTACTCCAGTGATTTTGGACTCCGTCCTGAACATATTGCTCGTGAATTTATGAGGATTGCTTTTAATTGGTGACTTTGGACTTTGAGTGATAGCTTTCTGTCTTCAGAATTGATCGAGTAGAAGATAAGGAATGGATGGGTAGTACAAGGCACGAGCATTTATAAGTAGAGTACTATGTGGGGACATTCTGGATTTCCATGTATCATGATTTAGAGCACACTTTCTTTTTGAATGTACCATGATGAGTAGTTTGGAGTCAGACAGCATCCCAAGGGATTGGAACAAATAAAGTCAATGAATGAAAAAAAAAATGACAAATGAGATATAATGTTACAATTTAAGTGAATTCAAATGACTCCAGGAAGCATGAAACTCGTACACAATGGGTAGGTGTACATTGGCAGAGATAGAGATAAACTGTTTGACTGTCTGCTCAATAATCATATTCAACCTGCAGCTGTTCTCGGCAAGCTTAATCATCCAGAATTCATCTCAAGGGCATTTGGTCACAAATCACAACAGATTATTCTGGCCCTTTAAATCTTGTTGGTAAAATCAATTTTGGAATATTGTGTGCAGTGTCTAGTCTGCAAAAAGACAATGATATACTGGGAGGGATGAGAAAAGAATGATAAGAACAATTTTAAGACATACAGAGTGCTATTATGAAGATAAACTAAAAATCTTGGCTTGTTGTGATTGAAGGAAAGAAGATTGAACAAGATATAGTACAAATCTTTAAAATGTTGCAAGGCACGCATGAACAGCTTATATAACCTATGTTTTGCTTGCAGGTGAAAGATAATTCATGGATGCAAGATTAAATTGTTTCAGAATGCCCAGAGATCCAGGGAAAAGGAAGAATCAGTCCCCATCAAAATTAATTTTTGCAAGTGATTACCTCTTATAATTACATTTTCGTCCAGTTGCTTTTAAAAATGAAGATTGTGAATGTGAAAAAAAATCACTAGATTAAAGATGATCAAACATGGTATCTGTAGTGGTGTTAAAATTGTTTCAGAGATAGTAGGAACTGCAGATGCTGGAGAATCTGAGATACGTCAGCCTTCCTGCTCCTCTGATGCTGCTTGGCCTGCTGTGTTCATCCAGCTCTACACCTTGTTATCTCTGGTATCCATAGTATTGGATTGTAAAACTCAAAAAAAAATTTGTCAAGATTCAACAGTATTGGACAGTTATCATGGAATTCTTCATCCAATTACTTTTGCAATGGCTGGGATGTTTTGTGAGGCAGGGAGTACAGTTTTTTTTTTGTAGCTTGTTCCTCTCCTCAGAAGATTGAAAAATTAGACTGACCCTTTGGAAAGATGTGTGGGAAGAATTTTGATTTGGTTAAATGGCTTTTCTAACTTTGTATTATGTTTCTGTTTTCCTTTATGATGTGATACGATGAGTGCTGCCTGCAACACTACCTATCTAAATACTTTAAGTCAACAGTTCCTCAAATATACCAATCTAGAAATTCAGCCCACTAATGTGGCAATATGTTGGACGCCAAGTGTATCACGATTTGGAGATATCAGTCATGTCAGTACAGGCCAAAAAGAGGTGTCCAATGGCCATGATGGAAAGAGGCTCTTCAGCCCTATATGAATGCCAATAAGTGACTTAATGGCTGCTTAGTGCTGCTGTAGCAGGTTTTCTCCTGAGGCACTTAGTTGCACCTATATGTGGGAAAACCAGCTCCTGCAGTGGTCTAAGAATGGCAACGTTGCCACCAGCAAGATTTTTTAACAAATTGTTCCTGTGTGGAGAACCAGGAAGGCAAGGAAATCGAGAGTGTTCCTCCCAATCAAAACTCCTAAGATTTTAGATTGCTGTGGGACATTGCTCGTCTTTAATTGCCTAGCACTATCCCAATTAGCCATGCTACCTCCCAGTATGGTGGCCACTGCCCTCTCCACCGTCGCTATCTTCCAGCTAGTTCCCAACCCACTCACCTTCTTTCAATATATCATCTTTCTTGGTTTGCTCACCATTCACCTGAAAACCACAATTCACAGCACAGCACTCCAGACTTACTTCTCATTTCTCCACCAAGCTGCTTGTTATTGTTCACAACTTTCTGGTGCACGAGGCCAATTCTTCACAAATTTTCCCCACCATCGAATTTGTCACTGCCAGCTCAGTCATTTGAGAAAGGTAGAAATCGGACCAGCATTATATTTCCATCTTTAGTGGAAAGGCTGAGAAAATGAGAATGCCTGGAGATTTTGGCAATCATGGGAGCATGAGTGCCATTAAAGACAACAACAGGAAAAAGTTACTCTCCAAATAGAGACTTCTTTTAAGAAGTATAATGAGTGAAATTTGTTTGGTACAGCAATGTAATGCAGGCCTACACTGATGCACAGGACAGGGAGTACTGTGGAGCTGTAACTGCATGGGCTGCATAGCAACCTTTAGCAACCTTTAATACATCAATGAAGAAAGTCATTTTGACCAGGCAGGTACCAACCCTTATTACGTCTAAGGCAAAAGTCTGCTTAGAAGCACTACACAGTCAAATGTCTCCCCTAAAACATTTTGCAATTTGCAGACTCATTTGAGGCTCTGTCATAAATAATGCCCAGAACACAATTCAGCGTACAGTTCTCAGAAAAACACACGTAAAGTGAGAAAGAACTGCAATTAAGTTCAATTATTTAAGAACTGCCAGAGACTTATTGGTGACAGCACAGGGGAATAAAGGTAATGACATTCCTAACTTGGAATGCAATATAAGCGCTTGAAATGAAAATAATAAATGAGATGACTAACATGAGTTTTCTAATAAAGAAAGCATTTATAGCCTTGGGGTTGCATGCAGATGTCTTCAGGGTCAAATAAAGAATATTTCTTGCAGATTATCACTGAAGATTATTCTCATTTGGAATAGTTGCATTTCAAGCACAGCTGGAAACTCAATATTGGAATAAATTGTGACAGTAAATTGTAACATGTTCTTCATTCGCTAGTGTTTGATATGGTTGACCTTTCTTGCTTCATTATAGTTTCATGAAAATAACACAGATAATTAGAACTACAGTATAGCACAAATTTACCAGGTTTGATGAATGAAAAATGGCCTATGTGGTTTACATTTGCAGTTTTGAAGCTATTCATTACAAACAAGTTTATTTCATTTATTTCATTAAATTTGAAAAAAAAATTGAAGGCACTCAACAGCTATACATGCCACAATATTCAAGAGAGTGCACCATAAATGTTATTTCACTGGAGAAAAATGTTGACAAATCACAAGCTTTGAAAGTGTGAGTGAGTTATGATCAGTGTCATTGGAAGTTTACTTCAATCTGATCATGACATCAATCACAACAGGTTTTCTTAACAAGTTGTTTGTTGTTTCAAATCTGTCAATAAATCCAAGTAGATTTCTAAATACAAATCCTTTCCAATGTCAACTGTAGCAATAGATGCTGCATGTATCCGATAATATTACTAATTGATTTGTTATCATGAAGTTAACTTGTGTTTTTGCAATGGAATTAGAAGTGATATCTAGTATAGGTGTAGTAGGAACTGCAGATGCTGGTGAATCCGAGACAACAAGGTGCAGGGCTGGATGAACACAGCAGGCCAAGCAGCATCACAGGAGCAGAGAGGCTGACGTTTCGGGCCTAGACCCTTCATCAG